TGGTAGAGACAGGGTCTCGCTATGTTGCCCAGGCTGGTCCTGAACTCCTGGCCTTAAGTGATCCATCCACCTCGGCCTCCCAGAGTTCTGGGATTACAGGCATGAGCCACTGCACCCAGTCATGAGCCACTGCACCCAGTCACCTTCCCCTGTTCTTCAGGTCAGGGTGGAACAAGGCCTGACTGCACCTCCAAAGAAAAGAAGGGAGTAAATGGAGAGAAAAGGCAGGGGATTAAGAGCTTGAAGACTCAAGCAGAGCTATGGAGAGCTAAGAGGGGGAACTTAAGGGTAGCAAGGAACTCTGGAGACATCCACTACTCACAGGTGTGTAGGGAGCCCAAAGCCACACTAGAGGAAACCCCAAGCTGCAATCCCCACCCAGATCCTCCCACTCACCCCAAGATGGCACAGACTCATATGCTGAGAACAAAGACAGAGCCTTAAGTAATAGTACTTTTAATAAAATTAAGTTCTTAATAGCACATTTAATACATTAACCCTCCCCCTTCTTGGTTTCTCTGCATTTTGTGCAACATCACTTTGACTTGACTATTCTTGGGTCTGTTTTATTTCCCGCTTTTATTTTGCTTTTGAAATCTTTTTCCTTGGTGGATTTGTATGTGTCTTCACTAGATGCCTCAAATTAAGTCTGACCACAATCCTACTCTACTTTCTACAGTGGAGAGACCATCCTCCCTGCCCCAGGGCTGTCTCCACCCACCCCACCCTTCCCCACCCGCACCCTCGAGTGGGGAAGGTGAAGCCCTCCCCACCCCAGACGCTACCATCCCAAACTAGCGGGGTTTCTAGGACAAAAAGAGCAGGGGGAATCTGTCCCTAGGTGGGGCAAGAAGAGTAAACTGGGGAGAGGGAGATGTGTTTGGGGTCTAGGGCCAGGGAGGGGCATGGCAGAGTCATTGGTGTAATGAATGAAGCAGGCTCCTCCTGCCAAAAGGAGAGCCAAGGGGCCTCTCCACCCCCTTGGATAGGAGGGGAAGGCCCAGTGATTGCAAGCTGGGGTTGGTAGAAAGCAAGTGCTTTAAAAATGTTGATTTCTCACATGCAGAAGCCAAGTCCCCCAGTTTTGTGTGGGGAGGGCAGTGTGTTCCCAGGCCAGGGCACAGTGGATGACCACTACCTGAACACTTATAGATGGAGGTGAACTGGAGCAGAGGGTTAGGGTTGGGGTCACCCAAAGTCCCTGTGCCTTTCCCTTGCCTCTGTGCCCATGGGGATGCCTTTCTCCCAGGCCTTGAAGGACAATGTCTCCACTCCACTCCGTGGGAAGTCCCTCTTGGAATCTAACTTTTATGAGACAAGAAAGCACTTTGCAAGTAGGTGAAGAACCAGTCAGCTTTAAAGAACAATTATTGAGATTGTTACCGCCACTGCTGCCATGGAGGTCAAAGCTAAGTGGAAAGCTGGTTGGGAACAGGGGTAGGGGACTGATCCCCTCAGTGCTCTTGAAGCTCTGAAGGTGAGAAGCGTGTGTGCATGTGTGTCTGTTTGTGGAATGACTTCCCAGGCTCTTAAATCAATCTGTAGAGAAGTGGACCGAGGTCACACTTCAAGAAGGACTTCCTCAGCTAGGCCTGGGGGAAGCATGCATGGGAGGGTTTGAGCTGGGAGCCCCAGGGGAGGACATACCACATTGGAGTATGGGCTGCCCAGGTACTAGGGGTGCAGGTGAATGTGCTTGGCCTCCTCTGCTGCCCTCAGCCCAGCCCGTCTTATTGAGATGATCAGTGTGCATCCTTTCCAAGACCCTGGGAAACGAACCCCTCATTTCTTTGTCCTACAATTTAAAAATCCAAGGATTCTCAGAATCAACCCCAGCAGACTGGAAGCTCCCAATCTTCAGCTAGTAACCTGCTCCAACCCTGATATCTGAAGATGGGGTAACTCAGGGTGGACTCAGCCACTTCCCTCCTCTATTTATCTTTTCCTTACGACTTGTATACATTCTACTGGACCCAGGGGCCCTCAATGCTACTAAACTTTAAGCTATCTGAATATTGTCTACTAAGTAACTAGTAATTGTTTCTCTCTCTAGGATTATATGAAATAAATTTGAATTATTATTATTAATAATTATTATTTTGTAGTATTCTTTTCTTTTAAACCCCTCGGTTTCTCTTTTTCTTCTCTTTCTCGTTTTTGGTTAAAAAAAAAATCTAGATCTCTTAAATCTCACACATCTCTGAGGGTTCCTATAGGCCTGCTAGGCCTCAATTCTGGATTTCCCCTCCTCACTTGCCCTGGAACAGGGCAGGGGAAAGTGGTGGGGGACACCCCAGGATCCTCAGTCCTTAGTCCTACAGCTTCTTCCTTTCTTGTTAATCCCTTTCTTTGTTTGGCTCTGCCGGCTCCCCTGAGGGGGAGGGGGAGAGGGGAGGAGGAGTCCATGGAGTGAAATCCAATCTACTGGAAGGGCCCCAGGAGGGACCGGGTTCCCCCAGCTCCTCTCTCCACCATTCATCTCGGGATGCTCCCCCAAGAAAAGCAAATGACATTCCTCCCCAAAAAAAAGTGGGGGAAAAAAGCAACGTAAACCCAAACATATATTAAAAACACTTTTTTTTTTTTAAGATTTAACTCTGAATACAAATGTATTTTTTCTTCTTCTCTCCCTACATATATTCTAAACCTTCTAAAGTTTTTTTATTTTTTTAAGGATCACTTTATCATAAAATAAAATATCCTTTTCATATAATAAATTACCTAATAAAAAGTCTTTTTTTTTTCATATTAGCCCAGGTTCTTTGCTACATTTATATGGTAATAAACGCCTTTATTAAAATAGAATATTAAATTATAAAGAACTGCTTTTTTTTTTTTTTTTTTTTTTTTTTTTTTCAAGTTCATCAAATACAAGGTCTACAGATGGGCCCTGTTGTGCTGAAGAGAGAGAATACCTTTATTTTTTTTTTTTTTTTTTTTTTGCTATTTTTGTTTTCTCTCCTCTGTGTTGGTCGCCTGTCTCGCTCCCTCTCATGCTCTCTTTCTCTCCTCTATTTTGTCTCACTATGTGTGTTTTGTGTTTGTTTCTAGGTTTGGCTCAGTTGGTAAGGGTGGGATTGAATTTGCTGAGCCCCCTAGTGTAACAGTCTTCTGCCTTTGTGGGTAAAGAGTGGAGAGGGGGAGGGGGATCGACAGACAGACATCCCTTCTTCCCACCCCCCTCCCCACCTGCCCCCGGCAACCGAGGGTGCCCATTTGGTTTGGTTTCTATTGTACAGACATCTCAGGATGGCTCACATAGGCGGGAAGGAGGGAAGTTGCCACAGGGCAGTTTTCTTGGCTGTGACCTCCTTCCCCTCCCCTCCCTGGCTGGTGTTCTGGAGGGGAAGGCTGTGGAGAGGTGTTAATTCTCGACAGGAGGAAGGAGAGGAGGAAATCCCCTCTGCACCTCCACCTGCTCCATCCAGGAAGAATGGGACTCTGGAGCTTTAAGTGCTCGGGCGATCACTCAGAACAGTCCCACCCCATTATTTACAAGGATCTCCTGGGACTCCCATCCCTCCATCCTCTCTTGGCCCGGCCAGCGGAACCAGGAGGGTGGAGAGCTGGTGGCAGCCCCAAATGAGCATGAGGGAAGCAGCAAAGGGGGTGCAAGGCCTGTAACAATATGTGATTCTCAGAATAGGCCCTGCTGCCCCCCAATCCTGCTTTGCCCCAGGCTGACCCCTCTCTGAAGACCTGGTTTCTCCTCAACCACATCGGGTGGGACACAGACTCCATGATTTGCATGGAGGATTCAAGCTAATAAGGATTCAAGCTAATAAGGATTCAATAAAGGTTCAGGTCAGGTTGAGAGGGGTGCAGGGAGTTGGGCACTGCATGGGAAGAGCAGCTCTTTCCTCCACCAGTCTCTCCTCCTGCCTCATGCCCTTTCCTGCTCCTTTAAATAGCAGACACACTACTCTGGCGCCCCCACTTCCACAACCAGAATATCCAGCCCAAGAACTACTCCCTAAATATAATGCCCATAGGTGATGAAGGTAGGGGTTTGACCCTTTACCCCAGTATTAGTCCCCTCCTCACATTTTCACTGAGAATGGGGATACATTCCATTAAGAATTTGAGATGTTTCTTTGGAGGAGTTGGGGAGAGGGCCTCTAGATGCCTGAAGAGGAATGGAGGGACCAATCAAATATTCCTCCCCCTACTTCTCCCCAGGAGGATGGTGTCCCCAAAGCTGGGCTGGAAGGGGCAGGGGCAAGGGGAAGGGAAGAAAGACAAAGATAAGGAACAGAGCTGGGAGTGACAGCCACCAAAAGAAAGCAAAGCAAAGAGCTGGAGGGAAAGGAAAGAATTGAGGAAAGGGGAGATCCCAAAGGAAGGGAAGAGAGTGAAGGGGGGAGGGGCGGGGGCAGAGAGGAGCACCCCTCTCCAGATTCCTCTAGCCCAGCTTTGTGGGGACAGATGGCTTCTGAGCCTTTCAGCCATAGAAATGATTGACATGCTTCTCTCCCCCAACCCCTAGAAGATCTACGCAACTTCTGATAGGGCTCCAAGTCCCTTACACCGCTGGAAACTGATGACAGTTTCACAAACAGGATATGGGGGTGGGGTGGGGGGTAAAGGGTCATGCTAGGAGGTCGGAGGTCAGGACCAGAGGGCTTAGGGATTGGAAACAGCACCTCTAGATACAGGTGGTAATTCTCCCTCTCCCTTTTACCCACCCCCTCCTCGCAAGAAGGGGTGGAGTGACACACAGCGGGGGAGGTGGGCAGAGGGCGTCAGAATGCCTTAGGTCAGAATGCCTTAGCGGCCACCTCTCCTCTGGCAAAACAAAAGTTTCTCTTAGCTGCTTCCAGATTTAAGGGTGTGTTGAGGTATCAGAGTTGTAACTCTAGTAAAATTTTCAGTCTGGCCCCCTCCCAATCTTTCCAGGACAGGGTGACCAGAGGCTCTGAAAGTGGCCCACCCTCCAGCCACCACTGCCTCCCTCCCCCCTTCCCCAGCGAGCGAGTATCTCTAAGCACCTTGCCCCTCAAATCACCGCTTTCCAAAAGGCCTTAGTGGAAAACAGGTCCAGGGTGGGCCCCGTGGAGTGGGCCCCGGAGGCATGGGGCACGGGGCTTAGGAGAATATTCGGATGGCTTGCGTGGCTGTGATGTGGCAGACAGGACACTCTGGGTCCGTCCTCTCGCAGATGCGTACTGCACACTCCATGCAGAACAGGTTGTGTCCGCAGGGCACAAGGGCAGCAGTCACTTCGCTCTCAAAGCAGACCATGCAATCCCGCCCGCCGCCGGGGCTCCGCAGGCCGCCTCCACCAAGTTTAGAGAAGCCCTGGAGCGGCTCTCCCGGGGGGCGCCTCGGGAGTCCGGCCAGCTCGGGTCCCGCGGAAGTGGCAGGGGAGCGGTGTGCGCCCGGAGGCCCAGCGCGGGCCTTGGCGGAAGAGGAGGAGGAGGAGGAGGCCGAGGAGAAGAGCACGGAGGTGGGCGTGGCGTTCTCCTGGCCCGCCCACAGCGGGGGGCTAGTCTCCGCCACGCCGTAGTACACATCCTGCTTGCCCACGCCATAGCCCGGAAAGAGGTACCCGCCGTAGCCAAAGTCCCCGCCCTGCTCACCCAGGCGTGGGGCCTCAAAGCCAGAGTCCACTCCGCACTCGCCGATGCATCCCAGGCTGTTCTGCCGGAAGGTGGAGAGGGGCTTGCAGCCAGGCGGGTGCACCCGCCAAGCGTCGGAGTAGCGGCTATCGAGTGCAGCGTCGGGGCTCCCCGCCAGGAAGTCGTTTTCATTGTTGTACTCGAGGATCTTGCCAGTGCGCACCGCGATGTGCGTCTCGATCTCCTCGCGCGCACGCTCCACGTTGCCTGGGGCACCCGTGATCTCGAACACGGGGTCGCGGTCACGGCTTGGTGTGATAATGTATGTGTTGGTTTGCTGCTGGATGCGCTTGATGGTTGCCCCTTTGGGGCCCACCACCAGCCCCACCACGCGGTAGGGCACCCGCACACGGATGGTCACCTGGCCAGGCAGGGCAGGAGCTACGCCAAAGGCGGCACCTGACTTGTTGCGGGAGGCGCGGATCATGGAGAAGTGCTCCGCTGCTGAGATGATTTCCCGCCGGGCGGTGGCCACGTCTTCCCGCCGCCCTGTCACCATGAACACTGGTTCCTCGCCTCTCACCGGAGTCTTGATGTAGGTGTTGGTCTTGGCCCTCAAGGCCTTAATCTTGCAGCCTGGGATAGGGCGGGGAAGGAGGGAGACAAAGAATCACACACAGCAAGGTTTGTGCTGGGACCAATAAATTCCATCCTCACCCAAATACCTAGCCTCCCAGGAACCCTTCAGTCTACCCCTTGAAATGCCCATTGCTGCACACACAGTCTACCCTGACTTGAAGAACCCATTTATCAGATCTCAGATGTACCTAATGTCTCTAGCAGCCACAGATTTCAAAAAGTACTAACTTTCCCTGAGTTCCATTCAGGGCCCTCCAAATTCATTCACTCCTCAAAACCCCCAAATAATCACTGACCCTCCCAGACAAGGTGGTAACTCAAATCCATTCACAAACTACACTCCTTTCGCCCAACATTTGCTCTTCCTTCAATTTCTCTACTGATGCCTGGCTACTCACAAACTTCCAAATCACTTAATCACCCCCCACATCTGTCACTGACCCTGATGTTTCCACAGAACCCCAATGTGCTCAGTAATCTCACAATCTACTCATGTGACCCTTGATCATTAAAAGTGTCCTCCAAACTACCCAGGGACCACTGAAGTCTATCTGCTCTATGACTGCCCCACATGCCTTCCACTCAGTAGTTTCTCTCAGTGGGCCTCAAATTCATAGTGAGTTTGCAGCAGCGATTAGGGTGTGGGGGACTGGGAAGGGTCTGAGAATCATAATTTCAAGGAGGAAAGGAGGAGTATGGAAATAAAGAAACTTCTGTGTGAGGGAACAGTGCCCAACCCCGTGTCACTCTTGTCCCCCTGTACCCTGGGGGCAAGAGAACTGAGCTGGGCTGGGGCTGAGTAGGGTGAGGGAGAGGTATTTTGGATCCACACTCCTGCTTTGAAGTAGGAGTGAGTTAAAGCTGGGAGGTTAGGGAAAGGCAGGAAGAGAAAGAAGAAAAATGAGACAAAGAGAGACAAAGAGGGAGAAGGCTAGAGAGAAAAGTAAGGGCTACTGTTTCTAAAAGCTGCTGACCTGGGGTCTGAACAAGTCCCTCTCCTCCTTACCTACCTTCCTCTTTCCTGCTCCTACCTTCACACAGAGCTTCCAAGACTCATGCCCTTTTGGGAAGCACATGTCACGTGTGTGAGTTCGCACACATGTACCTAAGAGATGTGCGTTTATCTAAATAATACTTATTTAGATAAAATCTAATGTATACTTTTATACACCTCTTTCATACACACATCAAGTCCCTGTGTTTCAGCCTTTCATACATCCCACTGTCCATCCCCATCCTCCCCAGCACACAAACAGCACATTCCTATACACACCCACACCCACGACTTTCAACCCCATTCACATGTAGACCCACTCACACCCTTCTCTGAGCACAATTCACTATTACCTTTTTCTCTGCAACCGAAACCAAGTGGTCCTACTTTTCTGCCTGTGCCCCAACCCTCCAACCTGAGACCTGAGGTGAGCTCATTTTTTCCTCCTTCCTCCACTCCAGATGGCTGCTGCTTCAATGCTGGCAGATTGGGGGGTGGGGGAGAGAGAGTAGGTTGGGGCCCCTCCCCTCACTTTTTTTTTTTTTTTTT